AGACACTCAAGTCCGCCAGAACTCAGGAGGGAACAACAAACACAGACACAACGAATCGTCGATTCCCCCGAAAAGGTGGGAAACTATGGGAAGTGTGGGGGGGATACAAAAACCCAGAAATTATAGGGGAAATCTAGGGAATCCTGTTATTTGCGTTTATTTGTTAATCGCTTCGCTCGTTCTGCCGGCCCTGGAGCTCTCTTTAGGGCCACTTAGGGGCCTCTTTGGGACCTCTTGGGAGTCTCTTGGGGCTCCTTGGCGGCGTCTTCGGGGCCCCCAGGGCCTCTTGGGCGCTCTTGGGGGCCTCTTTGGGTTAGGAGGGGGGGCAGTCGATTGCGGCCCCCCCCTCGGAGGCCACGATCCTCGTGAGGGATGTCAAAGAAATGCCCAGTCCAGCATCGCTGGCCCGACCCTGCCGGGACCCTCCCGGGGACCTCCCGGGACTTGCCCAGGGTACTTCTCGCCCGGGGACCCCCCGGGGCCGCCTCGCGCGCGCGAACTAGAAATATTGTTAACCAGTTGCCGGAGATCTTAGCACGCCTCTGGCCCGTTGGGCCGGCGAATCAGTATGTCCCAGGGCCCCTTCAAGAACTGGGGTTCTCCGACTCTCTTTAACGGGCCCGTCCTGGCTTCTGACGGTCGAGTTTTCGTGGTCTGCAGCATGGGCTCGCGTCAAGTGATCGATTCGGTCCCGTCATAATTCTGACAGCCCCGTCGGGCCAGTTCGAGTCCTCCAACCTCGAGTCTTACGGACTCCCGATTTGTCGGACTTGGCGCGTTAATTCAGCCCAGGAATCTTCGTGGTCGGGCTGCGCAACAAATTCCTCGCGGGTGGGGTGAGATCGGAGTTCGTCATTCGTTGTACGTTTTGTTGTTTCTGTGAAAAAGCGGTTTACGTGAGCTCGAGTTTTGAGATTGAGGTGGGATATCGAGAAGCATCGAACACCGTCGCCTGCGGTGTTGGAAGAGATGGTGTAAGAGTACTACGCCGTTCGTTAGTGCGCGTTCAGTGCGCGCGCACGTGCGCTCGTCGAGAGGAGCGCGTCTAGGTCCCCTCGGGTCCCAACGAGATGTTCCCCCTTCATCTTGACCTGTGAAGTTGCCACAGGGGGGCCAACCAAACGACCAACCGTACACCCCAGAGGCACAGGCCACCCATGATCGTTGGAAGCGGCCGATCCTGATCTTTCGCGTCGGCATCTCGAGGGTGCGTCTCCTTGTCCCCAGCCCACCAGTGCTGCTGGGTCCGCGGCTTCTCCCCATTGCGCCGCGCGCCAGCCTCCGTCGTCGCTTCCCCGTGCCCTCCTTCCCGAAACTTTGCTGCTGTGCTGCGTTGGCCTCTGCCGCCGCCAGCCGCCGCAGCTGCTGCTGCTGCTGCGCCCCCAGCCTCTGCTGCAAATGCTGCTTGTGCTGTCCGTTCGTTCGTTTCGCAGCACGGCTCCTGCCGATCGTTGTCTCAGGGGGAGTTCTCGCGTATGTGCACAAGTGGAATTTTCGTCGAGTCTGCGACACACATGAGCATTTTTGCATATCTACGAACATGATGCATAGTGTTCGACCTTGCATCGGGAGAAAAAGTAGTTTTGGGGGCAAATCAATTATGTAGTCCATCTCCTACTTGAAGTTCATCTTTGACCCCAGGCCACGCCCCTTTTCGACCCTCCGCTGACAAGGACCGTGCCCCATAATCATAATATCACAAAGGATCGTGGCCTCACTCAGGTCCACGGTTTTCAGGATCATCCTCAAACGTACGGTTTTTTCGTTTGACGCATGTGCAGAATAGACCCCCACATCACCAATGCATTTGGCCTCCCTAGCACAGGTCCCCTCCCAAAGGGTCAGGCGTACTTCTATTGCCTATCATTGGACCCCAGGCCACGCCCTTCCTCGGCCCACCGCTCACCGAGCGTCCCGCAACGCCCCCAGGGCGTCCCGGAACGCTCTGAGAAGGCCGCGGCGCCCGAGACATCTTCCAGGGCCGCCAGATCTCAGAGACTCTCGACTTGCCCCCCGATGGTCTCGGGACTCTCGATGTATCCGCCAGGTCACAGAGACTCTCGAGGAGGAAGAGGAGGAAGAGGAGGGGGAGGAAGAGGAGGAGGAGGAGGAGGAGGAGGAGGAGGAGGAGGAGGAAGACGCTGCCTAGCGAGAAACGGCAGAAACGGCAGGAGGAGGAGGAGGAAGGCGGAGGAGGAGGAGGAGGAGGAGGAGGAGACTCTCGATCCTCGTCCTGTCCTCGCCTTCTATCGACCCCGCGTCGCGCCCCGGAGCGGCCCGCCTCTCTCGCTCCGCCTGCGGCCCCCAGGGGGGGGCGCTCGCCCGGCGCTGCCCCCCGCCGCCTCGGCCCGCCCACCGCGCGCACCGAGCCCTGCTTGACAGGGGCCTCCGCCCCTGGCTCAAACGACGCGAAGATCGGGACAAAATCGGATCGGGGTCTCCTGGCATGCGTCTCGGGACTCCTCCTCCTCCTCCTCCTCCTCCTCCTCCTCCTCCTCCTCCCTCCTCCTCCTCCTCCTCCTCCTCCTCTTCCTCCTCCTCCTCCTCCTCCTCCTCCTCCTCCTCCCCCCCCCTCTTGGGCCCTTCCTAGGGCCACCTCGGACCGTCTTGGGCGCCTCGTGGACCGGCTTCGGGCTCTCTTGGGCCGTCTTGGGGCACTAAAACGACGCGAAGATCGGGACAACATCGGATCGGGATAACTCGAAATCTCTGAGAATCGGCGGGTTTGGAGGACGTCTTGGGCGCCGCGGCCGCTCCAACAAGCGTTCCGGAACGCTCTGAGAGCACTCCGGAACGCTCTGGAGCGATGTATCCCGATCCTAGCCCTGTTTTGCTGGCCCCTCGTGGAGGCAAACCGCCTGGCGTCACCACGCCCATCAGGGCTCCTTTCGGTTCCTCCGATTCGATGCCTCCGATTCGATCCCTGCTGCGCCCCCCAGGCCTCGCGAGGGCCTTTCGGCTCACCAGGCCGCCCCTCTTTGGCCCCTGTGCGTGCCGTGGCGGACCTTTTTTCCGCCTGCAGGCTCTCTCCCCCCGCCGTGGGGGCCTGGCTGCATGTGGCGGACAGAGCGTGGAGCCCCCCTCCAACAAAAAAGACTCGATCTCGGTCGTGGGATTCCGACTGCGGGCCCCGACTTCTCCTCGGAGGCACGCTGGCCTGCCCATGGTCGCCGATCCGGCTCTTCCCGGCTCGGCCGCCGACGGCCCCCGATCCGATTCCTGGCGATCGCCGAGCCGACCCGCCGCTTCGATTCTCACCACCCACCAAACCACCCCAACCCAACCCGAAGGCTCAGATTTACCCTCGATTTCCAGTGGGGGGGGGGGGGTCCGGAAACATCGAAAAAAACACATATGGAACCCTTACCCCCCCCCCCAACCCGAAAAATTCGGGCCTTCGGGTTGGGTTGGGGTGGTCTGGTAGGTAGTCAGATGCGGGGCTTTGCTGGCCCATATGTGGCCCGCTGCGCGCTCGGATCGTCGTGGGCCGCAGGGAGTCCTCCGCGCGCGGCCTCGGTGGGCCTGGTCGGGTGCGGGAGGTCGCCCCTCCTCCTCCTCCTCCTCCTCCGCCTCCTCCTCCTCCTCCTCCTCCTCCTCCTCCTCCTCCTCCTCCTCGGCTCGGGGGTGGAGAGAACCCCCAACAGTGACACGTCGATTAGTGAATTGTCCGTTTTCGGCTCTCGAGAGGGCCTCGTGGCCGTTATTTTCCAGGCCTGCGCGAGCCAGGTTTGGGCCCGAAGTCGTTTCCACTAGACCACGTTGTGCTAAAGGGAGGTCTGTCCATCCCCGGTGGGCCTGGTCGGGTGCGGGAGGCCGCCCCTGCTGCCGGGCTCGGGGGCGGGGGCGGCCCGGGCGCCCGGGCGCGGCCCGCGACGGCCGAGAGTCTGGAGTACCGAAACGGTGCGGTGACGGACCGTGCGGTGACCTCGAAATCCCCCAAGACCTCACCGCACGGTCCGTCACCGCACGGTTTTGGGACCTCGGAGGCCCCTGTCGCCCGAGACGTCCTCGGAGTACGACCCGAGTCCCAAAACCGTGCGGTGACCCCGAATACCCACCGACTCACCGCACGGTGTGGTCACCACCCGTCTGGGGACCCCGAGAGAGGCTCGCCCCGGGCCGACCCGTGAGATCCCAGCCCTCGCTCTCCCCCTCGGTCTGCCCCCCCCCCCCCCTATCCTTCGCGTGGGGGATCGACTACAGAATTCAGTTTCGCCGTAGAACTAACTGATCTTGTTGGGGATTGACGAGAACAAGCCAGACGCGTATCCTGCTCGCAGATCTACGAGCATGTTCCACACGATGTGTTGTACGCCGCACGCGACGAGAAGGTCATTTCTGGGGTGCAATCAGTTCCGTAGTCGACCCCCTCTTCGAACCCTCCCGCCCTCATTTCATGGCGCCAACATCGCAGAGCGGATTTCGTTCGGGAAACGATGGGATGGGCCCGCAGGCCCTTCCCCTCTCCCGCCCGCCGCTTCGGGCAAGACTCCGCGCGGAGGCCCGCGCAAGACAAGCGCCGCCGCAGCACGCCCGCGAGGCCGTCGCAGGGGCCTCGCCCCGCCCGTCGGCCCCGGGGCGCCGCGGCGGCCCCCCGCGGCGGCCCGAGCAGGTGCGAGGACTTCGTGTCGGCGCAGGGCTGCCTCGTCAGCTGAGCGGGAGAGCCCCGGCGCGCCTGCCCCGCTTGAGCGCGGCGGCGCGCGCCAGGGAGGAGGCCCGCCCTTCCCGTGGCTCCCGCTGCGTTCCTGCTCGCAGCGCGCACCGCCAGAGGCGGCGGAGAGCTTCACGGAGCCACCTGCCCAAAATACCAAAATGAAGGGGGTCCACGCAAAGCGGGGGGGGTCCGCCAGACGGAGCGCCCGAGCCTGCGGGATGCTGCAGGGCGAGGGGCGCAGTGACCCGGGCTTGGGCGCAGGATCCTGCAGGATCCTGCGGGGCCCTTCGCATTGACCCGGGTCTGGGAGCAGGATCTTGCAGGATTGTGCAAGGCCTGATTGACCCGGGTCTGGATTGACCCGGGTCAGAAGATCCCCGATCCAGGGCGCAGTTCGTGGGAGATTCAAGTCTCCGAGGGCCAGGAGGAGGAGCAGGAGGAGGAGGAGGAGGAGGAGGAGAAGGAGAAGGAGGTGCAGTAGGTTCGCGTCGTGTCGACTGGCAGCGACCCCGCCGCCGGCGTTCAACTTCGAACGCCGCCGGCGACCTAGAATCGGTCGATGTTGAACGATTCGTCTAGTGGAGAGGCCTGGCGGCCAGTGCCCCCGACCCTGATCGAAAGAGCTAGGAGTGGGGGGAGGAAGCGGAGGATGAGGAGGAGGAGGAAGAGGAGGAGGAGGAGGAGGAGGAGGGAGGAGGAGGAGGATGAGGAGGAGGAGTTGAAGAGGAGGAGAGAGGAGGAGGAGGAGGAGGAGGAGGAGGAGGAGGAGGAGGAGGAGGAGGAGGAGGAGGAAGTGCATCCTTTGTGTGCCCGCTCGAAGAAGTGCGCCCGGGGAGTGTGATATTCTGACTTGGGACGTGCCCCCGGAAGAGGAAGAAGTGCATCTCGGGCGTGCCCGCTCGAGGACAATGGGCCGTAGGGGGGTGGTATTTTGACTCGGGGCCCGCTCCCGGGACGCCTCTGCGGGAGGAGGAGGAGGAGGGAGGAGGAGGAGGGAGAGAGGGAGGAGAGGAGGGGAGAGGAGCGGAGGAGCAGGAGGAGGGAGAGGAGGAGGAGGAGGAGGAGGACCCAGGAGAGGAGGAGGAGAGGAAGTGCGTTCCCGTGCGTGCCCGCTCGAGGAAAGTGCGCGCCCGGCCGGGCGTCGTATCTGCCCCGGGCCCCCCCTCCCCCCCCTCCCCCCCCCCCCTCCCCCCCCCCTGCGTGGAAGGGATCAAAGGGAAGGGGTTTCCCTTCGACTCCACTACGACGTCGTTTAATTTCGCTTTGGATAGCGCGTTTGAGGAGGAGAGCCCTGGGAGGGGGAGAACGGAGACGACGGAGACGACGAGTCGAACGGAGAAACCCCTCACACACGCCGACTGGGTCGGCGGATTCGGAAACGACCTATCGCTCAAGATAGAACGATCTTCGCAGTGTCAGGAACCTTCGCAGTGTCAGGAACCAACGCCGGAGTCGGCACGACACGAACCTGCCGTACCCATACCGCGACCCTTCGCCTGTTTTCCTGCTTTTGGGCCTCCAGAGCACGCCCCGGGAGAGGTCCGGGGAGCAACGGTATCGGTACCTTTCGGTTACCCCGCCCTTAGAATATTCATAATTCCGTTACGAATTCGGCTGCAGAATCGATGAGGAAAGTTAATTTGTGGGTAAATCAATTCTTCAGTCGATCCCATACTCGATTCAGGCTGCAATTCGTGCGAGGTTCGAACAGATATGCGAACATATGTGCGAACATGTTACGCTTTCGGTGTAGACTCGATGAGGAAAGTCAATTTTGGGGTAAATCAATTCTGCAGTCGATCCCCTGTTCGATTCAGGGTGCAATTCGCGCGAGGTTCGAGGCGGCACCGGCGCTGGCACAGCCGTGGTCGGCAGCCGGCCAGATCTGGCGCAGGGCCCGCTTGGTGCGGCTGTTGCTCCGGTCCCTGCGGAATCCCTGGCCCCATCCGGCGTGGTTGTGGGCAATATTTTTGTCGATATCCACTGCAGTATGGAGTTTCGGGTTCCCTGCCCCAGAAACCAGAGGCGCGCTGGATATGGATAAATTTGCCCCCTAAAGGCTCGATTGCTATCCATATCCAGTGCGCCTCGGCCTTGTGACGCTCCTTCCCAAGAAATCCAGGACGCACTGGATATGGATACGAACCTTGCCCGCATCCCTGGCCCCACATGGCGTGGTGGCTCCTCAGTGTGGTTTATAGGATCGGGGGTGGACAGACCTCCTAACAGTGACACGTCGATTGGTGAATTGTCCGTTTTCGGTTCTCGAGAGGGCGCCGCGGCCGTTATTTTTCAGGCTTGCGCCCGCCAGGTTTGGGCCCGAGGTCTTCACTAAACCACGTTTTACTAAAGGGAGGTCTGTCCATCCCCGATAGGAGCCCTTCATCGTTCTCACGATGACCCTGCAGTGGTTGGCTCCTACCCCCCTGCTCCTGCCCCGGTCGGTCGGTCGAATGGTGTCGGACGCAATCGTGCTCACTCGTCGGAGCATCCGGCGAGGAAACTGGCGGGACAGTATAATGTGGGCAGGAGAAGTGCAGGAGGCAAGCTTATACGGCGGGTGCGCCAGGCACTCCACCAGCCCCTGGGGGCTCCGTAGCCTGCCAGTCAGGAGCTTGGCAGGACGGTCCTCCTGGGTCCCCCCCTCTTTCCTTGCGAAGGAAAACAATTACCTTGTGACGTGCCCGACACATTCGCATCAAGTGACAAGAACATTTGGCCCAACTTGTGTCAGGACAATGACAGTGCAGGCGCTGTTTTATGTTGTGCAAGCTACACGGGCTGCGCTCACGTGGCACGACTCACAGGACAACAACAAAAGGACGAGGAACGAGGGCCCAGGCTTAAGGAGGACACGGGGGCGGGAGCGAAGGGCAGGAGAATGACGCGTGGGAGGCCGAACCGTCAGCGCGGCAGCAGCAGACGGAATGTGGCAGAGGGCAGAGGACGACGACGAAAGTGACGGGAGGATGCCGAAGAGTCTTATGTTTGACGGCAGTACGCTAAAGATACAGCGTTGCTTGCGCCAGGCCGCCTCGGCGCTCGAGACAATGATTGGGCCTGCTTGTAGTTAGTGCAAGAAGCGGGCGAGGTCTAGTTCGCCCGCCAGCTTCTCTGATTCTTTCGTGACGACCCAGAGCTCGGACCAGCCCCCCAGGTAACAGAAAAACGCTTTATTCCGCTGGACCCTGGAAGACGTCACTCCGCTGCTCACCACCCACCAAACCACCCCAACCCAACCCGAAGGCTCAGATTTACCCTCGATTTCCAGTGGGGGACGGGGGGGGGTCGGGAAGCATCGATAAAAAAACACATGTGGAACCCTTACCCCCCCCAGCCCGAAGTTCGGGTCTTCGGGTTGGGTTGGGGTGGTCTGGTGGGTAGTCAGCTGCACCCCCCAGGCAGCCTTGTCCAACCCGCGGGCCCCGGGGGCCGCGGCCCCTGCCTCGGGGCCCGTGCTCCGTGCCTGGTCCTGCAGGATGCCTGCGCCACGCCGCCGAGCCCCACGGGAGGGACGACGTCCACTGGGCGTGGCCTGCAGGGGGTACTCCAGATTTCGTCATAAAAAGGGGAGGGGGTCTGGACCCTCCAAGGCAAGCCATTTCAGACCCCCCTCTCGCGGGAGAGCCCTCCAGAACATTTGTCCCCAGACCCCCCCAGGCCCTCCAAGATGGCCTGGAAGAGACCCCCCCCGAAATAAGACCCCCTCCCTTTTATTACGAAATCTGGAGTATTTTGGGGACCAATGAAGGGGGTTTGTTTTGGGCCTCCTGGAGTCCCCTTCGGGCCCCTTAAAATTTTGTTTGGGGGCGCCCTGTGGCGGTTTCGGGGGCCCTCTTGGGGCGGAGGGCTCGGAATGTCAGTTTTCTCCCATCCGCTTTGCGCGGCCCGCGCGCCTTTCCTTTCGCCAAGTCCTCGGGAATGGGGCCTCGCGCGGACCCCGCCCGTTCGCCAGGAGGGAAAGCGCGCAGTCCCAGTACGGTAGGTTTGCGTCGTGTCGACCAGCGGCGACCCCAGCGCGGGCGTTCAAGGTTGAACGCCGCCGGCGACCCAGAGTCGATCGACGTTGAACGATCGGACGTTGCGGCAGCGGCCGATCGTTCAAGGTTGAACGATCCCTGCGGTGTCAGAAACCAACGCCGGGGTCGTCACGACGCGAACCTGCCGTATGAAGTTGTGCCACCATTCAATGTCATGTGTGGGGAGGAGAACAGGAATGGGCAAGGGCTCCCTCGAGGGCGCGAAGTTATTCGCGCTTCGCGCTTCGCGGTCCTCGTTCCTCCTCCTCGTCCTCCTTTTCTCCCTTTGGGGGGGCGGCGCGAGGGCGCGAAGTTATTCGCGCTTCGCGGAGCGCGAAGCGCGAAGTTGGGAGCCCTTGGAGAGCAGGAATGGGTGGGGCCCGCTGACTCGTTCGACCTGGCGAGCTTCCGCCCTTGCCCTCCTACCTCCTCCTCCTCCTCCTCCTCCTCCTCCTCCTCCTCCTCCTCTTCCTTCTCCTCTTCCTCCTCCTCCTCCCTTTCCTCTTCCTTCTCATCCTCATCCTCCTCCTCCCTTTCCTCCCCCTCGTCCTCCTCCTCTTCCTCCTCCCTCCCCCGCTGCCTATCGCAGCCGTTTCTCCACGGTCTCCCGAGCGCCCGGCGGTGCCCTCCGCCGCCCCCCACACGCGCCCAGCCCGCGCCCAGCGGCGACCTGCGCCATGTCCGACCCGTGGGGCTGCATCTGCGAGTTCATCCGGCCCCCCACGCGGGAACCGTTTTCCGTTCTGCCTGGGTAGTCGAAGGCCAGACTGTCAGATTGGATTGGGCCCCACGGGCCAATCTGGCCTGGCCAAGCTGGACAATTTGGGTTATTCGCCAGACTGGATTCGCGTTGGCTCCCTCGCCTGATTGCCCCCGTTTGCCAGATTGGGCCTGCCAGATTGGCGCCAGATTGGCTTCGACTACCCAGTTTTCCGTTCTGCACGAACGAAACGGGCACGGAGAGAGTGGGCACAGTGCCCAG